GCGGCCGCCCGCACACGGGGCAGTTTGGGACGCCCCGGTCTGTGAGGGACTGCTGCCCTCTCGTGGCACGTGCCGAGGATGGCTCCCGGCCTCCGCAGCCCTCCGGCACGYGCAGCCGCGCTTCCGGACGCACAGTGCCGGCCGTCACCAGCATCTTCCTTCCGATCCTCACAGAAAACCTCGGGAGGACAAGTCTCACCTCACAGGTGCATTGCTTTCCTGGATGCCAATAAATTCCAGCTCCTACACACTCTGGTTTCATGCTCCCTTTGCCCTGTGGACAAGGTCCTGCCAGTGTCACTGCCTTCTTGCCTGTCCCTGGGGGCAACCATGTCCCTSCGTTACCCAACCGCTGGTCTCGACTGCCTCGGGTCATTAGACTCAACACAGAACAACTTCTCAGATCATGGCTCTTCCAAAACGACCTGATCGTCTGTCCTGCCAGACCCAAGGCCACTGCATTTAAGAGATCTCAGTGTTGGCTGCAGGGAGCAGCACATGGTGCTCGTGCCTCCTTCACTGTCCCCCTGTGTGGGCAGCTGAGCAGGGACAGCTCATGTCCTAGGCACAGGCCAAAACACATGGCACCAAGGGGTCATCAAGGGGCAGGAACAGCCTTCCAGGTGGCACTTCCTCGTCCTGTGATTGCTGCAAGGGGTGGCAGGAGTCCGCTCCAGACCTATCCAGCATCTCCAAAGGGGAAGCTCAGGGCTGCGAGCGAGAGCAAACAGGGTGGGGAGGTGGAAGGAGCTGGCGGCCGGGCAGGGAGGGGAGACATGGCTGCACTTACAAAGGATTTCATGGAAAGTGATGATGACTTGTTTTTAAAAGCTCTTTAAAATCTTATTGAGAGCCTCATAAAGGGCTGCCTCCACCGCACCGCTCTGGCAGCCTCATGTGTTAGCCCTGCGGGAAGGAGAAAGCTGGACTTGATGAGGGTCCTGCGTGGTGCTGCGGGGGCAGCCCCCCGCCCTGTCTCGCTGGGAGCACAGTCCCACCCTGAGACAGCCTCAGCACCAGCCGCCGGGGAGGGAACGGCCCCTTAACAAGGGAAAGGCCCCTTAGTGAGGGAAAGGCCCCTTAACGGAGCGAGGCCATCCTGCAGAGCCAGGTGATGGCTCTGGGCGTGCTGCGCAGGCTGCGGCAAGCACTGGTGGTCCGGGCAGCCTCACCAAGAGGCCCTTGAGAACTTAGTGCCGCACAATTTTCCATTTCCCCCCAAACACCCAGGTGTCAGAATGCACAACAAGGATCACAACAGGCAGGGATTTTCCTTCCAGAGCAGCCATCCTGGCAGCTGGCCCTGCACAGGACGGGTGCAGCACAAGGAGGCCCCTACAGCAGGAAGGGAGGGCCATGTCTCCGAGGTCCACGCGACGCTCCCTGGCCCAGCGCAATGTGTTCCTGGCAGATACCTCCTCCACCCACTGCTTGTGCCCTTCAGGCACCAGCAGAGAGCCCCGCCGCCACAGCAGGGACAGCAGTGGGGACTCTCGCATGTCCCCAAACACTCCAGCGGCTCCCCAAACCTCCAATGTCCCCCCTGTCCAAGGCAGCTGCACCCAACACCGGCCACCACAGGCAGACATGGGGCCACTGTGGGAAAGGAATTGGGATCCGCCTGGATGAGCCTGGAACGGGTCCTTGGATAAGCAACCACAGCTGCATGCCTGTTCACTGCCTGTTTTTCACGTGCATCACCCAATCAACTGATTATATTTACCGCTTGGGGATCTAAATATAGTTGCTTGCTTTAGTGTAGTTTATGGAAAGGGCTGAAAAGTGCAGATTTTCAATACATGATGCAAAACACTCAAAAAACTAGCACATGCTCAGGATCCTGAAGAAAAAAAAAAAAGGAAAAAGAAAAGGAAAAGACACAAAAAGAAAGTTAAATATGTCAACAACATTAAATAAAAATTAGAATAAAAAAGACAAAACTTGGCAGATACATATAGCTCAATCCACACGAAAATAGGTATTGTAAAGCTAGAAAGAATAAAAAGAAAACAATTACAAGTCGAATCAGCTCTGGACCCACATGCTGCCCCCAGCCACGCTTGGCGATGCACTGACCCCGTGCACACGAATGGGAGTGTACAGATCAGCGGGTGCACACACGGGGCACACCCACGAGGGGGGTGCACGCATGAGCTTGCACATGGGGGTGCACACATGGAGGGTGCACATGCACAGGGTGCATACATGCAGCCTGCACACACTGGGTGCACACGAGGTGCACACACACAGGGTGCACACAGGTGGGACTGAACAAAAGGGGTGCACACACGGAGGGGTGCACACACGTGCTGCACACAACGGGTGCTGCACTGGGGGGTGCACACACGTGATGCACACATGGGTGCACACAAGGGGCGCCCCATTGTGGGGTGCACACACAGGGTGCTCCATTGTGGGGTGCTCCCTGGGGGGGGTGCATACCAGGGACATCGGGGGTGCACACGGGCTACGCTCGCCGCTGCCTGTGCGCACGCGCGCGGGGTGGGGGCTGCCCCTCGCGGGGGAGAAAGAGGGGCAGGATCAACCCCCCCGCCCCGTGCGCACGCGCACTGCGAGCCTGTCAGGACTCCGCGCAGGGACTGCAGCCCCCAGCATGCTGCGGGGGCGCGCTGACGTCACGAGCGGCGCGGGGCGCGGCGCCGTCACGCGGGCGGC